GCGGCGATCACTCCCGGCACACCACCGGCGGACGCGGTCGCCTCCACGTCCTCCGCGCCGCGCCAGCACGGATCTCACACGGCACACAGCACTACTCTGTCGTCCGCCGTCCGGCGCGCGACCTTGATTAGGTCACACACACAAAAACACCTACGCGCGCGCGGCGTGGCTCCGACCGTGACCGGTTGACGCGGTCAACGCATCAGCGGCAACAGGCTATAGTAGACCTCGACGGCCGCCGCCGCAGAATAGGTACACATACGTTGTTGAATGAACAACAACAGGGGCGTAACCGAGGGGGGAGTATAGGTTAGGTTAGGTTAGGTTTGGTTAGGTTTAAATCGACCCGTCGGTTGATCAAGGAATATAACGTCCGACTCTTAGTTTTCAACCGATAGAAAAACGTTTTTATAGTATTTCTCGTTCACGTCTTATTTCTTAAAGACGTTTCTTCAAAGTCTATATAGGTACAGTTATACTTGATAATTATGTATAATCCCCCACCCCCACCACCAGACGGGTTGTTGTTCTGTACCGGAATGCCCGTTGCGTCATTTGCGTCAACCTAATCTCGATTTATTCAACAACAAACCGGTACTGACCGAAAACGGTGTCGGCGGTTAAGACGTTTCTTTTTTTCTTAAACAATTTTTTCCCTTCCCATCTAGCTTATTTAGCCGGTCGTAGGTGTGAACGACGCTTCCTACACGTAACCGTGTATTGCACACTTTATTATTAATAATAATATTATTTTTATTATTATTATGTACATTCACATTGTGGGCCATTGTAAAGCTCGCTCACAAATATATAATACTAGTTTTTTATTATTATATTATGGGCGTCGATGTCGTCGCTTTTGAATAGATACACGTTTTGTGCGTGGTGAAAAATTTGGGTTTTTTTTTTGGTCCACTCCTTTTTTTTAGGCTACTCAAGCGAAGGCGCGTTCTCTCATCACTTGGCCAAATCGGTTTATATAATAAAATATTATTATACTAATATTGTATAATAATAATATTCCTTCTAATATTATTGTTGTCATAATCGACCAAGATGTATGTCTTGTCTCGTCAGTAACATATCCAGAAATTATGTACGGCGGGGGGACCGGGAGAGGGTGCATAGTATAATTGATTAAAAATGACCCCCCCCCCTCCCCAATGGTTACTATTTATATAGAAATTTTAGAATAATTTTATTAGAAACAAAAAAGTGAAATATTATTTTTAAACAAAAACCTTAACCACGAAAAATAATACACTTGCTTATTTGTATGACTTAGGGGTTGAGGTTTTTTTTCAAAAAATATTCCATTTTTTTAATTCTCAACAATACAATATATATATATATATATATAGCCACAAGCGTTGCTTAAGTTTTTTCCAAATACTTTTTAAGCCTAATAATATGATATTATAACGAACGAAATTGTTTTTCTAGAAAAAATGAAAATCTAACCGAACCTAACCAAATCGCGTTAGTTTTACGATAAACTACATTTTTCAACATAAATAATTTCGTAGAAAAAAAAATTCTCGTAGTTTAGAACATAATACTTACAATTATTTTCAGTTGTGTTTTTTTTTCGTCCACAACAACAACATTATAATTATTATTCTTATTATTATTATTATAATTATGTTAAACTAATATGTTTTCAAATATTGTTGCAACAATTAGTAGGGTAAAAGGTAAATTCAATTAAAAAAACTTTTACGTTTTGTCGAGTCGTGAAATACCAAAAAAAAACCTAAAGCAATTATTGGAACCTTTCGACAAAAATACACAGTTGGAAAAATGGCATGAAAAAAAAATTACCAATTATTTTGATTTAAAATGTCGCATTCATATTTGCCGTATTTATATTTTACAAACGCGTTACTGGACCCTAACGGAAATTTCCAAAATATATAACCATTTAACGCACAATTTTATTTTCCTAAAGAGTTGTTCGTTAATCGTTGCACGGTTTAAAAATTACAAACTAATCGTATCAGTGAATCGATTATTCGTTACAAAAAATAGTAGTTTTCAATAGTAATAATAATACAATATTCAAACGCGGTTTTCTTCTGCGAAATGCTGATAATTCTATCGAAATAAACGCAAAACAACACATGTGCTGGGCAAACATTGCGAAATAATAATAATAATAGTAATATCAAATTATATTTTATATATTTGTTTCAATAAAAAAAAACACTAATATTCGATCGGACAGAGGTCAATCTGTCCGGTCATATCTGATAAAAAACGTATCAAACCGGAGGTCGTTGGAAAATTATTATTATTGTTACCGCTTATTTAAAAGAAAAAAAAATGTATGTTCGACGATGATTAACCGCGTTATTTCTAAACGGGTAACCACCGATAACCATCTATAACCACTTATAACCGCGGCCGGCGAGCCGGTTGATAAAAATCGTAACGCCGACCCGAACCAAGGTCGCGGTCCATCGAAATGACCTAACCGGAATTATAGTATTAACAAATTCCGCTTATTATTATTATTTCATCCGTTTAAAAATCGTTAGTTTACTTTTTTCAAATTTTTATTTCATTTATAATAGACATTTTTGCAATTTTACAGGACGGCCAAAATAAAAATGCAGTACTTTTCCTGTTGGCAAAGATTCTCTAATTTTTGTATTAATTCATTTATTTTAACACATGGGCACAACTAGACCTACGTTTTAGGGGGTGCTCAAAAATTATGTATACCTGACTGAACAAAATTATTATCTTCAAAACGATAGATATAAAATAAAATAATTAAGAATAAAAATATTCTAAAATAAAAAATTTTAACAGAGTATACACATTATTAGACATTTTAATGTGCAAATCAAGGGTGCGATTGGAGTTTGAATTTTTTGGGGGTGCTAATTTTGAGTCTGGGGGTACTAAAGTCTACCTAGCATCCCCCTAGTTGCGCCTATGTTAATTTATCTTATATTATTTAAACCGTCTTTTGCGTCCAACAACTGTCGTTTACTACCGACAATAACTTCATAACTGTTAATTAATGGCGTTTATGCTAGATATTTTAACATCAATATTTGTACTTAAATTAAACATAACAAATATATGAGTTGGCTAAATCATCGGAGCTCAAAAGTTGTATGGTTTATAAATATTTTTTTTTTTTTGTAAATCTTACAACATCCCAGGTAAGATACAAATTTGTTTCACACTTCTCTGATGTCAAACAACACATTTTTTTTTGCTAATTTTTACATAATTACACGCATATTTATTTTTGGTAATTTTATTTTGCATATTTTCCAATAGTTGGACGCTATTTATTGTGCATATTTTGGTACATTTAAGCGCTAAAAATAGATTTTTTAATTTTGTCAGTGCAAACACTGCTAATAATCAACATGATATTATTTAATTGTGGGTAAATTAAACAGAACCTAACTAAACTAATATAACACATAGAATAGCACGTCTACTAAAAACAAACGTCGTTGCTCACAGGCTATTTACACATTACAAGATAATAACATAATAAGACAATATAATGAAAAACACAATCAAGTTAATTAAAAAGATACATTTTGAAATTTTAAATTATCAACTGCAGGTACTGTTTTAACAATATTTGTCATGCTGGCTTAAAATTCGACCGAATAACCTAACCCAACATAATCGGACAAAACTAGGAAATATAACCTAACCTAAACCAAACTCTCTAACGAAAATCTTTATTAAAAGTAAAGCGAAGAGTACAATAATTGTCAATTAACCCAAACTTCACTTAACTAAATCCGACAATTATTTGTATCTACCGTTAAAATGTTTACCTCTCAACACAACAATACAAAAAAAACTGATTATGCCAATTATTTATATATACCGCTACTTTATAGCAATATTTTAATATTTTTACCGTCCACAATCGGCCGTTCAAAGAAACACAAAAATGTTTCAATCTACAAAAAGAAAACATGTCATACATTGATATTATGACAATATTGTTTTAATCAATTTCACTGAGTATAAAATGACAAAATCCGAGTTACGATGCAAAATTTACTTTTACCAGTTTGGCCAAAACGATACAATAAATAAAATTGATAAAGATTTTTATTTAAGAAAAAAAATGCATGTGAACGATATTACCGTTCAAGAATGATATTTTTAAATTCACCACTAATCAGTTACGGTTTAAATTATTTTAAGGCTATGATCATAATTGAATAGTCATTAAACCCATTTACGATAAATTTGTAAGCCACAATAATCTCATATCGCCTGAGTCAAGATGCATTTGTCTGACTACAAAATTAAATTACACTAAAATCAAATATTCAAAATACATGAAAACAAAAGCTACTAGGGAAATTTGTTAGTTTTTAATGGAAATACTAAAATGGAATTATGAATAAAAGAATCGTATTAAGCTGTTTTCAATCTTGTAGTAAAACTTAAAAACTTAAATGTAATAGTTATCAACACAAAAATATTTCACTTAACAATGTCATGATTAAATACAATCGAGTATATATTGTGTATATCATTAATAAATTCTAAACGAGGAAGGTCAAGCAATAAAATAATATTATACATGTACACATACACTCCAAAGACAACAAACCTCAACAATTAAAACAATTATTTTGTTTTGATGAACCCACAAACTAATCGTACGCCTACATATTTGAATACAATTATAATGATTGGACGATTTCAACATAATATTATCAAATGATATCTTAACCCTTCACGACCATAGACATTTATCACCTGCCGCCAATGGACGTATTAAAAATCGAAAGAATATTTAACTCATCAAATAGAGCACTATCTATTCACCCTGACAATAATAATATATCTTACCGATAATAACCAAAACAGAATGACATGGAAATAATTACCAAGTGACAGTTAAGTAATTCTTAACGCTTAGACAACGTTCTCGATTACTAATAAAGTATTTTTTAATTTTTAAGTATAGGTACGTAGGAAGCAGAAAATAGGTAAAAACTCACCGTTTAAACAGTGCACATTGCATCCGTCTTTGAGTAGTCGCTTGGCCAATACGATCATGGTGTCGGACTCGGGCGATGCGCTTTTGCGGTCGTCCAGACATTCGCAGCCATATAAAACGAACACGCTTTGCTTGTAGGCGCTCACTATTTGCTCTCTGAGATCCGAACACTTGACGGTGGACGCTAGGTCGATTTTGCCGGCGGCCAAACGCCTTAGCATGATGGTGGGTATGCTGAAGTTGACGGCGTCTCGCACGTGGCAGTCCGAGAAGTCCATCGAGCTGCGACAGTCCAGTATCAGCATTCGGGACTTGTTGCTTGACGACAGTTCGGCGGCGAGCCAGTCGCAGCCGACACAGATGTTCGACAACAGTGACGAATCGTCTTCAGCCGGCATATCGTTGTACGGCTCGACGATGACGGGCGAAAATATGTTACGGATTTCTAAGCAAACATCGGACACGACAGTCGGACGACCCGGTGAGTGTATTTTTTATTATTATTGTTTGGAAACGATGAATTTAATTTCAATAATATAATATTTATGTTAACAAAAAACCACAATAATTAACACAATAATTGAAGGGGAAAAAAACGAAAATATTATTATTTTGTGATAATAAAAAAGAAAAAAAACAGTTTACATTATTGTCGTTATCGTGTAAAATAAAATAAAAACGATTATTAAAATAATTTTAATAATATAACAATAAAAAAACGGTAAACGACGATGATTTTATTAAATAAAATAAATTAATAATAAAACAATAATAATAATATTATAATAATGTGTAAACGCTGAGCACAACAATGTTTTGTGTTGAACCGCGTGCACACGACCGACGAGTTCACCACAGACGCAGTCGGAGTGGAACTGTTGATCACTGAAAGCGGTGAACGCGATGACAAAAAAAAAAACATGGACACGGAACGGCGGAATGGACGCGCACGACAAATACCGAGAAACTCGCGCGGCTGCTCCGCCACTCGTTCCGCCGCCGCCTCGTCCACCTCGTCCGCTGCGGGCTACGGCCGCCGCCTACCGAACAAGACTAGATTACCGGAAACCTCCCGCGCGCCCTACCGGCGACGGCCATAAACTCAACCGTGGACCCATGGCCAATAGATGGCCGCACGTCCGGTATTTTAGCGATGTGCAAGACCTACTATCTGTATTATCTTAGGGGGACGTGATATCCTCTATTTATTCTTACAGAGTTGCAAAAAAAAAAACAGTTTTTTTTCGTTTAAAAATAAGTTTTTAATGTTATAAACGGTTTTTTTTTTTTGCAATTAAAAAATTATGTTTTAAACATGTTAAAAACATTGTTTTTATTTAAAACGTTTTAAGCAAATTTTAATTTATTTTAGTATAATAAATAATTAATTATGTAAAAATTTTGCTGATCATTTTTTTAAATTACGGTCGATTATTTAATTAGATATACTCTTCAGAAATAAACAATAGTTACTTAAAATAATTCTAGTTTCCACAGACTACAGAGGAACTACCTAAGGCACATTTTTTAGTTTAGTTTAGTAATTTAGAACTCTTTTTTTTTTTTTCTAGTTAAGGCGATCGGAAAGCCCTATTTATTAAGTGATAAAGAATATAAGCAATATTTGACAACAATTTCTCTAGTAACCATTTTAAGTATGCGGATTAATTTTAAATGTTAAAAAATACAAGTTTTTCTAGCTGTTATAAAACTTTTAAAGTTATTTTTCTCCGAGTTATGGCCAAAGTTTAATGAAAAATGACTTAAACCGGACTATGACTATGACCATGATATGACTGTAACCGGAAGTCATTTTCCGGCGTCTCTATAGGATGGATTTTAATTTTTGTTTTTTTTTTTATGTGAAGCTTACTATTTTTTCTACACCTGTGAAACCTTTTGCTAATTTGAAAAAAGTATTAAAAAAGTAAGATATTTATCTCAGTCATTATAGCTATTGGATGGCACAATAAAAGTCTTGTATGACTATTTTTTTTTATAAAAACCGTCTTGATTGTTAGTATTAAGTACCGTGCGCTTAGACCCTTTTTACAAAAAACCAATAATTATATATTGTAATTAATGTGACATTTTAATTATTTTTAATATTTAAAAATTACCCCTTGCCAAATTAAGGGTTGAACCCTAACGTTTAGTGGACCTCAACCGTTAGCAAATTGCCAATTGTCAAGAACAGAAATTTCAATTAGTTAAAAAACAACGTTTACTCGAAACCATTGAATATGTTATGATTAGTGTTAGGTTTGATAGACGTCTTCAGGTTTCTCAAGACGTACCCGACTTGCAAAATATATAAAAACGGCTAATTCGTTCTAAGTATAAGTCTCGGTTCTAAGCAGTTCAAGACTTCCAAATATGTACATTTATTAAAATTCAGAAGCACCAGCAGCTGTATACTGTTGGACCATTTTTTATATTATGTATTTTTATTTAGTTTCATTCCGACGAAAGCTACACGTTTGGATCGTTGCAATAATATGACTCACAATATATTATTATTATTATAATACACATTAGGTACATACATCAGCGATTTTCACAGGGCTATGCAACCGATGAATCACTAACAGGTGTCTGGTAAAAAAAAAAAAAAAATACCTTGCCGATGAGAAAACCATTCTTATAATAATCGTGCCGTCGCATGCATTTTTAAAGGTGAAATATTTACAGGTGATTTTATTTTAATAAAACTAATAACACAGTTAAGTCCGTTGTGCAAACAAACAGCCGCGCAACAGCCGTTTATATTTGTTTGCCTGTTTCAAAATGCTTAAATATTATTTGCATTACCAAATATGTAGCAGTTAACAAGGGTCAATTGACTCGAATAAAAACGAGGCGATTGAATAAAAAATAATAACTAGTTATGCTTTGGCGGTCAAAAATATAGATACCAATTGTATTTTAAAAGTTCTTGTTCGAAAACCGCGGTGTTGTATTATAGTGTAACAAATATTGTTTTCTAATTATGGATTTTTTCAATTAGGTAACATTGCAATTACCGTTGCAAAACAAACATGTGCTCAAGTCAACGTGCATCAGTTAAGTAATAATACAAAAACGATTGTTTACATAATAACAATATGTGCCTACGTACACACCCCATGACGTTATTAATACATTTTCTACGATGAAATTACATTCCAAAAAAGGGTAAACAGTAAACGTATTGTACTATAATATTGACTCGAGAATTGTTATTCTTGAAAATTCAAATTAGTTCTTATCAGTGGAGAGCGGTCAGTTGCAGCTGTTATCAATTAATTTTATTAAAACCACTACCATGGTTCGGTGGTACCATAGAGCCAAAACTTTTGACTTATAAGGTCTTTAATCGGTAGTTTACCAAATTAACGGAATAACGGATCTTCAATCGATGACGACCAGCAAACGTAAATGTGAGTTCATTAGCAATAAAACAATGTGAATAATTTCAGACTAGATTTTCGTTTAATACAATTGACACGCGAAACTGGCAGTGCCATATTGCAAGTACAGGTTAAGTTTTTTTAACAGCATTGAGCGAAATAATTTTTATTCTAAAACACTTGAAAACTCAAGCACAAATGTTCCAATTATTTTGATGCCGTTAGCTTAGGCTTGCATAAATCGTTCAGTTAGATGTTAGAATTAAGTCTTATCAAATATATGTATGTAATTGTATAAATAAAAACCCATCCCACTTTGGTTAAGTATCTGATGCAAGTAAACTTTCTTAATTTTTGGAGAATTATTAAAAATATATCTTTTAATATTAAGCAATTAATTAAAAAAAGTTTAAACATTTAAGGGAAAATGTGTTTTTATGGTGGACAACTTTAAAGCTCTGTAGTTAGTGGTCCAAGTTCTGAAACTCTTCATTGCACTTCTGCACGCCAAAGTGATTGTAATAAGACCTTAAACAACAAAATCCGTTTAACTGTTTCAAAGATTTGCGTGGCCAAAGAAAAATGTAGCTAAAATTGACAATTGTTTTAATCGTAAACAACTAAAATAATTTATTTTCAATTTTTCTAATTCATATTTTGTATCTTCTTGACAAGCTCTTTCCCTTGAACTTAGAATTTAAGAGAAAATTGAAAATTAATCGTTTATAAGATGTAACACACTCACACAGACTTTTTTCAAGTTCAAATCTGATCTACTTGTATAGCATCTTATATCTAATATATTACATTAAAGCTAAGACAATCATCTATCTTTTCACTATTAAATGTAACTAGGACATTTAAGTAGTATTGATTATTGTCGAGTCGTAAAATGTAATAAATTCTAATCAATTATTATTGTATTAAACTGAAAACATTTTGTTCTATGTTAGGTCGGTTATAAACTATAAATAAATATTGTGCTGTGTATGTGACTAAAGTCATCGTACACTCATACTTAAAATTTCATTAGTCTTATCAATAGTGTACATACACTAATCGTTACTAGAAATAATATTGTCCTCGATAATATTAGGCTATAATGATTAACGTTAATTGCAAAGAAGATTTCGGTTTTATTAGTGTCCAATTAGAAGATTTTAAATACTCGTAGTGGGCCATTAGCTGATGGGCTAAGTGGTTTTGTGATTGAAATAAAACTTTGAAACATTTTCTGGCCACCAAAAGACAATTCAATTCTACGACTTAAATTAGTCACTGATAGATTGTATCACGATAAAAAAAAAATAATAAATAAACACATTAAATTACAAAAGCGTTTATTATGATCAAACGATGTTCGTTGTTTTGTCTTCTTTTTTTTTTTTTTTTAATTTTCATTTAGACTTAAACATTTTATACACAAAGGTAGTATTCATTATAATAATAATATTAATAAAATAGTATGTGACACGTTAACGTAATACAAAAATAAAGAATAATGAGCAAAATTTGTATATAATATCATAGTGATAATGTATTAATAATTAAATGTCATATTAAAACTATACATAACACACTCGTATAAAGAGGTACCCATTATGTAAATGGGCAGGTAAATCTTAAAATAGTATTGTACAAACGTTACTAATAATAACATTAATAATTGTAACTGGTAGTCGTATAATAATATAGCAATAAACGATACATAGTTATTTTTAGCACACTAAATAATACATAATTATAATTAGTTTATTATTGTGTACGAAGAGTGTTTCTGTACTTAACGTGCGTAGGTACAATCATACATTGTTGTCGTTTGAGCGGCTTCTATTTATTGTGACTTCTCGTCGCGTTATATATTTTATATAATATAGCAATCATAACATTACCCATATGATATATGTAAAAATTTTTTTAAAAAAAACATTGGTCTAACGATTCATTCTTAATAATATAATATTATCATTGTAGTGACTACAATATCTAAACAATAATAATTCGTTGTACTCGATAATATTAATGGGCGGTTTCTCTGAGAAACATGATAAGTAAAAAGTTTCAAACATTTTTCAGAAAACGACAAAAACGTTACATACATAAAAAATGAATAAGTACATTTCTGTTTTGTATTTTAAATATCAAGATATTTTATAATACTTCCTATAAAAAAATGTTGTTTTCTCAAAGAAATGAAATGTTTTTATCGCCCCCTGAAAAACTAAAGTTTTAGTTATCATGTTTCCCATAAACAAAACCGCCCTATTTTGATCTGGTATACGTTGAACGTACTTGAACATACTTAGTGGACGATGCTCTCTTTATCCGTCCGTTAATACATTTCCTATTATTTTTTATTGTAAATCTTAGGTACACGGTCGATCCCGGCGATCAGATTAACGTATTTTAATATTATTATTACGGACTTTCCGTCATTTCTGAGTACATCTCTCGATTATCACACCGCAAAAGGTGCGTCAATAAAAAAACACAAACTAATCGAATTTTACTATTAGCTAATATTATACTAGTCGCGGTGTATGTTATCTCTGGGGTCGACAATCTCTGTGCAACCTGTTGCATAACCGTCCCACGGTGACGAACAAGAAAATGGCAACGCAAGCGAAGAAACTCCACAAGTACAGGCCCGCCCAAAGGGGATCGTGGTTGGTGAGCATCAGGTATGGGTCGACGGCCGGCATCAGAAGACCGTGATGGATCAGGGCGGCAGTGCCGTTGGGCGTGGGACACGGCAACTGTACTATGATGTCCTGGTGTTGTACCTGAAATCACAGTTGACGGTAATTGTCGGTTGGAAGAAAATTTGGAACGAGCGATGCAACAGTCAATAATTATACAAAAAGATCCAAAGAATACAATGACCAGGGAGCCGCGGTAGAGAAAGATCTGAGGAATCCAGGAGTACCTAATCGGAGAAATATAGTGCAAGGCACAAACTGCGTTGGAGCATCTCAGAAGCCGGACAAAGAAGAAGACTAACAATGACGAAAATCGTTTTGTTGTTTCCTTACCTGTTTGTTGCGACAGACCAGCGACGAGGCCAGCGACACGAGCGTGTCGTGCGTGTGATCGTTTTGCAACAGGGGCAACATCAGATACCGGGTCGGCGACAACGTGGACAAAAACCTGACCCCCGGCACTCTCTTCAAATCGGCAAAGTTCAACGGCACGCCGCTCATCAAACCGGATACCACGACCGCTACCGTGGTCACTACCGACGAGCTGAGGCGGTCGGGCATCAAGTACCCCACGGCCGTGGCCATCATCTGCAGGGCGCTCATGTGAATCGCTATGTAAACTGCGGACAAAACGATAAGAAAACACGTTACTGAGATGATACGCGGGTACAACCGACGGACAAACTCACGTATATAAGCGAAAAAAGGTTCCGGATCGTTTATGTACTGATAAAGTGCCGACATGGCGTACGCCGGCACAGAGTACACCATCCATACGAAGGCCGCCGGCGGGATGTTACAGAATATCTAAAAAAAAAAATTTGTTATTTTGAGTTCATATCAAAAAAGGTTAAACTTTAAAGCGTGAAATGTTTTTTTAGGATTCCTCATCGTATAATCTTTATCATCCGATTGCGTTATCGATACGTTATCAGTATTTCCTTATCTCTTATATCTTATCAATAGTGATGTGTACTCTTCTACTGTTGGAATATTTCGGGATTCAAATATAGAGTTGACATAATTAGTCGTATTTCATTCCACAAACATTGGACTTTTCGAACTTCAACAACAGTCCTACTTTCACCGACCTGTCATCAGTTATTCATTTTGAACTTTAGGAATAGTTGTTGTTACAGTATTTCGTTTAGCCTCGTGTGTTAATAAGAACATTTCACGTTAAAAAGAAAACCCCAATAAGTTGGCGGCTATAAAGTCGCAAGCTATAATATACTCACCGAAGTCACTATGTAAACGAATCGACCGTACAAATTGTCCGCTATGTCACTTTCGACGGCGTTTCGATCGCTGCCGTGCGTGTCGTTCAACGCGATTTGTAGGACCAACGGCAGAGCACCGACTATCATGGTGCTGTAGTAGAATCCAAGTCTGGAAAATCAAGAAAAACACGTGAAATTTAGTACAAATGCTAACTGACAACGGTAGATGAGGACCAACTGCAGCGTACCTGTCGCCGAACAAGAGCTGGGGATCGGTGGCCGGTATGTCCCAAAATATGGCGCCTATTATGACGGACATTAGACCGGCGACGAACAACCTGGACAACCATCGCAAACTACTCCTGGGCTGCGAATAGGCCATATGGCGTCTGAACAAATTACATATTATACATTATTGTTATTATTATTATGATATATTATGGTTGTTTTGGCGTCGTACAATATTATGGCGATCACTTGTATTGGCACGGACGCGGTTCTCGGTTTACCCGGCAAGGGTTGAGGTGGTCCCGGATCCGGTAAAGGTTCCACCCGTCTCCTGAACAAATCCGCCAACTGCTCTACCCTCTGACTCGACTCCAGCATAGCCTCGGCCGACAGATCGTCCAGCGTGACCAAATCGACTGTCGAATTGAAATATACAAATTTACCGCTACGTCAGTATTTTTTATAATATTTATTATTATCCTTACGATAGTAATCCGACGGGTTCTTGAAAGCCGGACAAGGGTAATCGGCGGATGAAAAATAAGGTAACATGTTTCGCCGTCGGCCGCAGTACATGAGGTGACCGACCGATATTAACGCCACTTTGGAAACCATTGTGAATATTTCGTACGTGGGAGGTTGTAAGGTGACCATTACGATTCTAGGATTGACTCCGGCTACGGACAATAGGAGCAACGGTCAATGATTTATTCATTCGCATTAAACGTCAGACGTGCGATTTGTAATTAACGTTCTTACTCGGAGCGCCGGCGGCCCATTGTCTAAGGAACTCGACTAGAAAGAACGTGTCAAATATGTCCATGGTCACTGTCGGTCTGTCCAACATGATGATCTCGGCGTCGGACATCAGATGACACGCTACACTTAATCTTTGCACTTCGGAGGCAGTCAGCTCGGACACGTTGGTGTTTAACACTTGTCCGAGACCCAACTCTTCGATGAGAACACCCATCTGAAGTGAAAACAAGACCAGATCAAACGTTAGAGGTCGCGAGGTCCATTAACTAGACATTAATAAACTCTGAGACGATACTGACCTGGTCGTTTTGAGATACTTTTGGTATGGCACGGGCAGGAGCTTTGCGCAAATGAGAATAAAAAGCCAACGTTTGCGCTACGCTGAGGTTAGGTGCTAACTTAGCCTCGGCGGGTACATAAGCGATACGCTTCGCTAACGTAGAAATAGAAACATTTTGTCCATTGAGCAGTACGTGTTGCACTTGACACGGGTGACGGTCAGCTAAACTACTGAGAAGGGCTTCTCCTTCGCGTTCTAAAACACAAATATAAAATCATGAAAAATGAGTGCCGCCAACAGTGAGACATTTCAAATGTCAATAATTTATTTACCAGAAGTCATCATAAACGCCATTACTTCTCCAGCTTGGACTTCAAACGAAACTCCTTGAATCTTTGGTCTCTTTCCGTCAGAACTTCCGGGTACTTCCAGACCTCTCACCTAAAATGTGCACAAATTCCGTTTACGATTTTTCATATAGTAAAAATAATAACATAATATAATATTGAAGAGATTAAACACGATCTCAACGTTACCTGTAAATAAGGATAAACAATGGCTGGCTGTCCGTAAATATCCGATCGATTGGGGCTTAAATTGCTCATCATACTGATACTTCTATCCCTGGGCGTAGTAGCAGTCGTACCTACCACGGCTATGGAAGCTGGTCGTCCAGTAGGCAAGTGGTGTGTACTGTAGAAAACAATCATAATTAATTAATAGCTAGATACGAAATATGACCCGGTGATATAGGACAAAGTGGTAGTGTTTGTATGCAAGTTGGCCAGTTCAAATAATCGTCAAGAAAAATAAATAAGCAGCCACCCTACTAAGGATCTCAAGCTTGTTTGATCGGTTTTAGGGTTCACACAATCACCTGTAATCTCGACTGACTGATTGAAAAAACTATCTGAGCTCGTCTGATAAGGAACACAGAAGTTAAAGAATTTAGCTGATAAAATAAACAACTTCCAGAATTCTTATGAATTTACAAACCATAGACTATGTTTTTCAGTCAGTTACTATCAATCTCTATTCTTATATATTATCAGCTGATTGTCTCTTACTTCCTTTACTCCCCTTAGTTTCTTTCACTCCATTCCCCGTGGTCAAATAAAAAAATGTGTTACCTATAATGGTGAACAGGATTAGTGTAGTGGTGCGGGTGATTGTGATAATTCATTTCTGATAGAGTTCTTAAGTCATGCACGCTCCGTCGCATCGTTGGCATCTCTTGCCGAACGGGGTATCCGTGTGGCGATAGCAAGTTGGCTTCGCTAATACTCTTGCCTCGGCGGCCGGGATGCTGCCGTTGTAGGGTGGGCTGTAGAACAAACAAAAACAAAATAGCACATAATATTATTTCACCGTTTTCAACTATCAGCGTCGACAAGAATACTAATGTGAACAGGACACGCATGAAGAAAGCAGAGCTGTTAAAAAGTATGGTTTTTGAATAGAATTCGGTAGGAGAGGATTGTGGGAAAAGCTGAGTCAAGCATTAGATAAGCACAATTTGTAGATGGATTTAAGGAATGTTCTTAATGACCCGAACCTACAAAAACTATTACGTTCTACTTACACCCACGTGATAGAGGGTATGATTGCAAAAGTCCGGGTCGCTCCTGGTTCTCGTGTAAGGCCTTTGTTGGGTGCGTGTGGCCGCGCCGTCTTCGCTGGAGTCATAGCCGCTGGATCCGTCTCTGCGACTGTTCGGTGGAAACACTCTGGGAAGTCCGAACTTGAGGTACGTGTACATGTTCGAGCCCAGAGGCGACTTGTGCACGTCATACTTGGGACCGTACCGCGGATGGCTCAGTATGGACTGTACGGTGGACTCCCTGAGTTGAAAGTTACCGTACGGGAGAGGAGACTTTTCGCTGGAACCCAACGCGGAGTCGGTGAAGTCGGAATTCAAATTTTGTCTGAAATTGTCGATGGGTTAATGAGATGTACCTTACACACAATTTATGTTAGCAATATGACTTGCATACCTGTAAATGCTCCAGGCGTGTAGGTCTTCGGACGCTGGTGGTCCCATCGACGTGACAGCGTGATGGCTTAAATGCGGATCCGTGCCGGCCACGGAATACCGTCTTTCGCCCATTTCCCACGATTGACCACCGCCTCCTCCGCCTCCTCCTCCTTGCATCGCCCCGCTGCTAAACCGCCTTGGTCCTGGCATATCCGTTCTGAAAAAAAAAAATAGACCTTTATCGTGAGAACATGATATTATCAAATTACCTGGCCGGCTGCGTTCGGCCGGATAATCGCGGTACAAATTATTATTATCATTAAAATCTAGCAATATAGCAATAAATCCGATGCTTCCAAACGAGCGCACGTCCTTGACGTCATGTATTACAAAAAAAAAAAAAAAAACCTATTGCACAGTCCGATGGCTCATTAATTAGTCTCGCGTATACTTGACACAAATGATTAGAGGACCGATTCGGAGCGCCGGATGTGCCGATTGCAAAACAACAATGTTACAACTTGTATCGACAAAAAGCACAACGCACATCATTCAAACGAATCTCGTTTCGTGCAACAAAGGGTCATAAGTCCGGCGGGACACTTAAGCCACATCTTGCACGGTACGATTCACGTCATCTTATATAAGTGCCGTTAGTCAACATTTAATTTGATATTTTTTACATCGGCTACTTTCGGCCTCATTACTTTCAATAGACTCCATTAAAAAAAAAATAGGATCTGCACTTTGGTCAATTACAACGTTGACTATTAGTTTGCAGTGACGGCCGATCACGGCTCTCCATCGGTAGGTCGGGTTATCTTTTGTGCTCACCGATGTTATCCGTCATGTTTAGTCACGCGTGGACGGTAAAACAAAAACACCACAAAGCACATTTCCATTGCAGTGTGAGAATGCTATAAGATAATTTTGTTTTTGTATGCGCGGCTTGCCCTTTGGGCTTTTTTGACGCAACGCTTGCAATCAAATTCGAATTAAGTACATACACCTACTGATGTTGCTGCTGCGGTGTTCTCGCAGCCCCCGTCGGACAGAGTTAATGGTTTTCTTTTTTTCGTCATCGCTTACCTATACCTAGATAATCCATTAGCTACCTACTGCTATACCGGGTACCGCTATTATTATTATTTTATACTATATACAACCACTGCCATTATCTACAGCGTGTGGATAAAGTCAACGTACAATGGTACGCTGACCATGGCCGGTAGATTACAATGAGACGAATACGAGAAAGATGCGTCCATACAAGACACAGGCCGTCGAACCTAAAAAAATTGGAACGTGCATCATTTTTGCTTTTGGTTATTTTTCCTCCTATCTATATGTTTGTTATGACGAATACACAACAATAATACGATTACTATTATCCACCGCAATAATTATGCGTTAATTTAAATACAATCTAACCGTCGGGTCGGCCGCACAGGATGTAAAGCCAGGTGTGCCCGCCACGTTTTATTTACTGATGTGTTGTTGTTTGTTGTATATGGAATAGAGAGCCGATTGTGACGTTTAACGACTAAACAACTGCAACGATTATTATAACTTTATATGGACGGCGGCATACAGCGCAAGGATAGCTTTTGAAGCCGCTGCTTAATGCCCAAAAAGAGTAAGCGAGTAGGTGGATGCTGTGTAACAATAATGTACAAAACACACACATAGGTATACCTCTGTTAATTGGTAAAATATGTACACTTTTATTATCAATATGAACTATAAAGTATACGGTACAAATTTGGATTCTTATACTAACGTTTCAACACTAGGTATCCTACCAGGGTTGGGTAGTATTAACCATAAATTACTCAAGTAATTTGTAATTTTTATTTTAAATGTAGGTAGTTTGTAATAAATAAACATAAGTTGTTTTCACACACCTTGCGGTTACTCCCATTTGATTTGATTTTACTAAGTTATTTGTATTATTTATAAACGCAAGGTGATCAACTTATCGTAAACCACTCAATATCTTACTGGCTTTAATAAGAAATTTAATTTTTTTTTTTAGACACAGTGTTTTTATGCAATGTGTTCTCAAATTTTCACCATTTTTTTGGTTTTCACTCCCCCTCCAACTTTGTTTTTTTAATAGTGACTTTTTAAACTAAAATGTTAACGCATACATTTCATTAACTTACAAAAAAATCAATATTAATTGAACCCAGTGATATATTGAGTGTTTCACGACAAGTTGATCACCCTGTATGTAGGTAATCATATATTCTTTTTCCTCGCGTAATAACTGTCTAATATTTTCCATATACCTACTATTGCTACAAATAAACCTACTGCAAAAATGAACCGTCTTTCTCTTATCTTCGTATAATATCGTATATAATGATAAAAATAATATATATATATATATATATATATAAACAATACTGTATGTAGATTGCCTTTATTTGTGATTAACAATATGTAAAAACTAAGTATGTTTATATATGAATTTTACTATATTTTAGTTGTTAAATGTTTTTTTTGTGTTCGTATAATATGTTTTGTACGGAGTTTTATATTATTCTTTGTTTTGTATTGTGTTTATTACCTATATTTTCTAATTAACGATGGACTATATTGGAAAAGAGCCATGCCCAATGAGGATTGTGCAAGACCTCGGCAAGTCCTCCGAAAGTTCGACCTCCGAAGTCTTTAGACCACGACCAACAACTTCAAATAATGCGACGATATTGGAGTTCAAAGTCCTTTTTGTTGATTGTGTATATAATTTTTGTGTAAGTATCTTTATATGTTCTTCTTCTTCTTCTCGATTCTGGATCTATCATTTTTTTATACTCTCTTTTGTGTAATTTATAATTTGTGTAAACACAATATAACACACTGAACGTTACCGAGTATATTTATATAAGATTAGAGATAAGAGATTACAGCTATGATGCTGAGGAGACAAATTGTATAAAAACATTATGGAAAAAAACCACTTATTATAAGTCGATCACTCTGTATATGCATGTATTTAATTTTTAAGAACAAATTTTAAACAGAATAATGGGACGGTGGGCTGCCAGATGATATAATATGTAGAAATCATTTGTTCCACTCCACCTCCCATACTAAATGATTAACTATTTATTAAAAAATTGTCGTGGACCAGTAAAAATGTTCAGCAAATTTTTTTAAATTTAATAATACAAGCTACCGTTTGAGTTTCAAAAGTTGAGATAGAGCTCTAGAAAACACTAAAGAAGATGAACATTTCAATAACATAAACAAAAATGCCTCCGACGGGAAACACTTGAAAATTGCAATTATTGTAAGACAAAATGAGTGTTATCCTGTAATGAATCACCGTGCACATGGGAAAAACCCAATGCCATTTCAGATGGTTCGCATCGTCGCTCACAACCGATGGTATTCAACGATCAATGCAACGAATGTCATGTAAGTATAATATATTTTTCACGTCGCATATTTTATGTTATTAATGAGCGTAAACGATGTTAATATGTGCGCCTACTAAATAAGTGTCGAAAATCACGCACTCGATCGAGCTAGTTTGCGCAACCTGTTTCACGCTCTGATCGAATTTCGTCTTGTGTTTGCACACACAAGACGTGCATAAAATAATATTATATTACATTACATATTTGTATGTGATAAAAATGTTTATATAGCAGTTTATTGTTACCGTATAATATAATACAGGCGCGGCGGTTGGCGGTTTAACAATATATTATCTATTATAAGCTTACCTTATAAAGGTAACGAGGATCACAAAAAACCGTTGTGTTATTTCTCTGATAATATAAACGTTATTTATCAGAGCCGGGCACGACAGGAAATCGAAATTGCCAGCGGAGAAAGAAGGCGAAAAAAAGCCGTCGGATTCCTTTTCAGAATACTTACATGTGTGTGTGTGTGTCCCAGTTATTTATTCGGAATTCCGCAAGTGAAAAACACACCTGAGGTAGCCGGTGCAGGTCCAGCAAGCAAGGCACGCGCGACAAAACTCGGCCTATCCACCGTCGTCGGGTAGATAATAATAATAATAATGGTATAATGTAATATATCATATTATTATATACATTGAGTATTCACTTCGACTATACAATCGCCGTCTAGGCCTCGCTACTCTACCTACTAGCCTACAATTACCGGTATGGAAGCAAATAAAAAAACACAGGATCACGATTCAAACCAGTTTACACTCACATTCTACTTATTTATATAAATTATATTATATTTTGCTATTTGTATTGTGGCTATTGTATTTTGTCGCAATACTTATTGATACATATATTGTCGAGTTGACGTTTTCTCGAAGGTTTTTTTGTGTAAAAAACAATTTAACGGCGTCTATTAGCGACCATTCGATGGAATTGACACAAGAGTTTAACGTTATGGGATCATGTCGCCATCGACAGTTTACACACAATAATACTGATGGACTTGGGTTATGCTGTTGGCACCGTGACGGAAGATTTACCACCTGTCTACCACCAATTGGCTCTCGATTGTACAGAACGAACAAAATCCAATCACTACACTTTTGTTGATGTCACTTCGGTTCCAGTACGCCAAGTACACCAAAAGTTCCATCAACAGAGTACATTTCATCATAATAATAACATAAAATATTACCGTCTGATTAGGTACATTCGTTTAAGTGCCAACTAACTATAACTTGGTTAGTAACTAATGAAAAGCCTTTGTCTTAAATCTAACTAACCAAGAACCACGGGTGGGAAAATAACTAAAAAAAAAGTACAAAAATCCTAAATTAAAAATTAAAAATAATGTGATAGTGGTCACATTAAAAATAAATTGTTTAAAGTTAACAATGGAAAAGTTTACCCATTTTCCTTCACAATTGAGAAAGAGATCCTAAATGATTATATATTTTTTAACTTTAAAATACTGCATAAAAAATATGCCGACTATTTTTCGGTTCGGAATTTAGCACAAACAGCAATAACCCTTTCCCCTAGGACATTTTATCGTTATTTACCTCTTTGGGGGCGTAGTTTTTGTATTTAAATCTAAAAATTTCAAATTACATGTAAAATAATGTATTTAAATACAAATTACCAAAGTAGGAATTCAATTACCGCCCACCTTTATTTAGGTCACATTATACAGTTATCAGTCTTAAGGAAAAAAAAAAAGAAAAGGTCAGTGAACATATTTTAGTCATTACTCGTTAGTAATCAGACATTATCAGAACCAGTCTTA